ATGCTTTTTGGCTGTTCATATGTCTTCCTTAGAGAGTTGTTTATTCAGCTCATTTTCTCATCTTTTAATTGGATTAATCATTTCCTTTAGGGTAAGCTGCTTAAGTTCCCTGTGTATTCTGGTTATCAGTTATGAGGCATAGTTAATAAAATTATTGCCCATTCTGAGAGTTTTCTATTCACACTACTTACTGTGTTCTTCCCTGTGCGAAATCTTCTTAATCTGATGTAATCCCACCTTATATTTTAGGGATTATTGCCTATGCTTTAGGATCTTGCTTAAAAATCCTTTCCATATCCCAATGTCTCTCAGAATTTCCTGTGTTTTTCATCAGTAGTTTTATAGTTTACAGTCTTAGGTTTAGATCTTATATCCACTTTGAGTTGATTTTTGTTAATGGTGACAGATAGGGGCTCAGATTCATCTTTCGGAAGGTGGATATCCAGTTTTTCCAAACCACTTGCTAAGGAGGTTTTCCTTTTCCCACTGAAGTGACTGGTAGCCTTTGTCAAATATCACTTGACTGTATGTTTTTGGGTTTATTTCTGGAGTCTCTATTGCTTTGGCCCTGATGTCTGTTTTTGTGCCAATCCCATGCTATTTTGATTACCACAGTTTTGTAATATATTTTTGGGTCAGGAAGTGAGATGCCACCCATTACACTCTTTTTGTGTAGGATCTCTTTGGGAATACAGTTTCTTATATGATTCCAGAAAAGTTCTATATTCATTTTATCTAGATCTGTGAAAAATGTCTCTTGTAATTTTATAGAGATTGCATTAAATATGTAGATTAATTTGGGTAGAGTTATCATTTTGACTATATTAATTCTCCTAACCCAGGAACATGAGATGTCCTTCCAGTTTTTGTGTCCTTGTTTATGTATGTTTTAAGATTTTAATAGTTTCTCTTATTGAGGTGTTTGACTTTCTTGGTTAGTTTTATTCTTAGGTATCTTATACTTTTTGTGGCTATAGTAATTGGGATTACTTTCTTCAGTTCTGTTCTTGTTGAACATTCTTGCATGTACATTCATCAGAGATCTAGATCCGTAGTTTTCCATTTTTTGTCATATCTTTATTAGTTT